CGGGAAGGGGTCCGCGGGGGAGGGCGCGACGGCGGGCGCCCCTCTGCCCCTCCCGCTGTGCGAGCTGGGGGTCTCTGGGCGGGGGACCCCCAAACCCGGCGGAGACAGAAGTCGGGCCCCCCCCCCGCTGATGGGTAGTAAGGAAAGTGATGCCAAGTCTTCCAAGTCGCCGAGGCAAGCTCAGAGCAGGAAGCCACTCTAGAGGTTTTTATTTTTAAAATGAGGGTTCTTCTTGATTTTCTAAAAACTTATTTTTAAAGAGGTGAGTGCTGGTATTTTTGTCCCTACTTGGGTAAGCCTCCATTTTAAGCGAAGCAGTAACTGGTTAAGCTGGAATTTCATTCAGGTCCAGGACCTGAACAGGGATCCTGCGAGAGGTCATTAAGTCCAACCTCCTGTCTCCACGCGAACTCCCAACCCCAGCCTCAAACTTAAGTTATTTGTTCTGCTTTTAAAGAGCTCTAGGAAAGAGGGGTCTTTTATTTGCTTGTAGTGGTCTGGTCAAGAGTAGATTTTATTTTTCATGTAGAATTGGCTCTGTAAGTATGATAAAAACTTCGTACAGTTAGGATCATAAGAGGTTTTTAATTTACTAAATAAAAGTAAGTGTGACAAGGGTCTTTTTTAAAAAATGGTTAGTTAGCGAGGCGTGGTGGCACAGGGTGACATGCCTGTAATCCCGGCACTCGGGAGGCTGAGGCAGGAGGAGGATCCCTACAAGTTCGAGACCAGCCTGGGCTACAAAGTGAGCTCAAGGCCAGCCTGAACTGCATAGCGAGACCCTGCCTCAAAAGACAAAAAAAAAAAAAAATTAGTTAACAAATCACCCTTAGTGGATGTTTGTGAAATACCCTGGATAATCATTTTTTCTTTCCTCCCTGGGATTTTGGTTTTCTAATTCTTTGATAAGCAATTTTCTGTTGTCTAAAGTGTGTGTCACATATTTCTCCTTTTATATAAAATACCTTTTTATACAAATATGAAGATGCACGTACACTCATTTGCACTTTTCAAAGGAGTTTGTGTCGTGTACACCTTTTTTAAGATGGTAAGGCAAATAGCACTTGAAATCTCTTTCCAGGTAGTTTAAACTATGTGCATTTTTTTTTTTTTTTTTTTGTCTAAATCAAAATCCTCTCTTTCAGATACCTCCTTGAAACAAAAATTTTCCTACCTGTTCATTCTTGGTGGCAGAAGGAATTACTAAGATTCTCTTTCTGCTCATTTCTGAGTACTGTCTGAACTATTCCTGACACTATGAATGCTACTTGGATGCCTTTTAAGGTAAGATGTGTTATTTTTTCGTTGCTAGGCTTTTAAAAAAATTTTTTTTTTTTATAATCAAGAATATTCTTCTTGCATTTGCTACTCTTCATTCTTCTTTTCCTTCAGAAACCATTGTATTAGGTTCAGGAGTGGTATTAATATTGTTCTTCATTATTGATGTTAAAATGTTGACGAAGTTCTCATGTTAACTTTTGTTTATCTTTTTAACTTTAAATCATGACTATCTACGTGCTTGTAAACTTCTGTTCCCGTCCTGGTAGAATAGGTTGGCAATGCAGACTTCCAGGTCTATTTTCAAACAGGTACTTTAGAGTCATAGGTACTAGGGTGTGTCCCGCTCTTGCAAATCAGTGGCTGATTCATATGTTACAAAAGATGTGTCATTAACCATTTGTTTACTCTGAAACTTGGTGTAGTCTATTGGAACGTTCTAAGACCTGTTGGTGTCTACATACACCTCCTTGGAGAGGTCCCCTGCTGTTCCGTTTCATGAGATTTTACACTTCTTTTCAACAGGTAGCGCTTGTGTCAAGTTTTATCTTACAGGTTAAACCTCGTGTGGGCAGTGTGGATAGGTGATCTTTAGATGAAAATGCTCTCACTGGTGTGGCAGTTTTCCAGTCTTTTACAGCGCCTCTAATCTGCACGTAGAGGCCCAAGGAACTCTTCCTGAGGGCTAAGCAGAGGGCAAAGCTAAAGACGCGGCCCTCCGACAGCTTCGTCTTCCTTTGGAGTTTCTAGTAGGATGAAGATTGTTTTGTGGAATCTGCTCTGTGGCATTCCAGATTGATGCAGGAGATAAATTAGAATGATCCAGTCTGTATAACCTAAATATTTGGACTTGTGGGACATCTTTAAATAATATAGACTTGAATTCTCATCCTCATTTATGTTTCAGCTGCTATTGTTGGATAATGAATGCTTATATTAGTATAAAGGAAGCCAAAGTGACACAGTTTTTCCAGCTTTTCTCCTTGTAGAGGTGGAGGGGTGACATGGGAAACACAACCATAATTCTTGAAAAATACTGAGGAGTTAGGGGGCCTTGTATAAGAGTATTTCTTTTTTTTTTTTCCTTCAGTGATGGAAATCAAACCCAGGGCCTTGCTCATACTAGGCTAGCTCCCTAACGCTAACCTGCATTCCCATCTGTTTTTACTTTTATTTATTTTATGTGGCACTGGGGATTGAGCCTGGGGCCTTATATGTGCTAGGTAAGTGTTCTACCACTGAGCTACATCCTCAGCCCTTTTTAAAAAATACTATTTTGAGATGGTCTGGCTGAGTTGCCTACACTGACTTTGAATTTCTGATCCTCTTTCCTCAGTCTCTTGAGTAACTGGGATTATAGGCACCAGACCCTTTCTATTTTTTTATTTTGAGACAGGATCTTGCTAAGTTATCAGGCTGGCCTTAAACTTGGGGTCCCCCTGCCTCAGCCTCCCCGAGTAGCTGGGGTTATAGGTGTGCACCACACAACTGGCTTTGTTTCTACTACTTTTTAAAAATTTTTCTTATTTTGGGTACTGGGGATTGAGCCCAAGGGCATTCTACCACTGAGCTACGTCCAGCCCTTTTTATTTTTGAGACTGGTCTCTTTAAGGTTTTACCCATAAATCTCTGTGACCCAGGGCATTATAATACGGTACCCTCTGAAGTTGCACCAAAGGCCTCTAGCATGGGAGGAATATAAGTCCGTGCTCCACACCCGTTTACTACTTGAGACATGTGGCTGCCTTTGTTGCATTTTTCCCTACCAATCTTTTGATCAGTGAAAACCATCTTGTATGTCTAAACAAATTTTTTTATTTGCTAACATTTTTCTTCTACCTTTATTACTTGAAAAAACGTGAAAATTAGAGTGTTTGATTGGGTGGAATAAGAGATACCTTTCCACAGAAGGAGCAAGGTTGCGTGCCGTGCAGCTGCCATGTGTGGCCTTCGGTAGGTCCTGGGGCGCGCCTGTGTGCCAGCCTGAGTGGGGATGGAGGCAGGCAGAAGTGACGGGCGAGAGGACGGAGGTAAAGTGAAACCCAGTGAGAGACGGACAGTTCTCTCGGATAAGTGCAGTCCTGTGGTGACACAGCAAGAGGCAGAGCGCTGGGTATGATGGGCCCCCTTTGTGGTTTTTTGAAAAATAAAAAGAGGAGGGAAGGAGTGTAGCTCAGGGGTAGGGCTATGCCAAGGAAAGAAAAAAGACAGAAGGAGAGAAATAGAAAACTTGTATTGGTTCATATGTACTTGTAAAGAACTCGTGACACCTGTAATCTCAGCTGCGTGGGGTACTGAAGTGGAAAGACAGCACGTTCAAGGCCACCCTGGGGAACGCAGTGAGACTCTGCCGCAAAGAAAAAAAGCTGGGTGTGGTGGCGCAAGCCAGTCCCAGCACTCTGGGAGGCTGAGTTAGGAGGATTGCAGGTTTAAGCCCAGCCTAGGCAAGGGAGTGATTTAGACCCTCAAAAAATACAAAGGGCCTGGGGTGTAGTTCAGAGTGAAGGCGCTAGGTTCAATCCCCAATATCGGATTAAAAAAAGAAATGGGTGGAGCTCAGTGACAGCAGCATGAGGCTCAGTCCCCAACACCACAAAAACAAACAGCCCCCAAGATTTCATGTGTTTGTGGGGTTGGGGATTGAACCCAGGGCCTTTGCACTGAACTGTGCCTCCAGCTCTTTTACAGCTTTTTATTTGGAGACAAGGTCTCAGTAAGCACTGAACTTCCCTGACTGGGCTTGAATTTGTGGTCCTCTTGCTTCTGCCTCCCAGAGTACTGAGATTACAGGCATGTACCACCATGCCCAGCTCCAGAAATCTACAGAATAAACAAGAAAATGGTGACATTTGTTACCTGTTAGGTCTAGGAGTTGGACAGAGGACAGAATGAAAAGGAGACTCTCTATGGTTCTTTTTTTTTCTTGCTGATACTGGGGACTGAATCCAGCTCTACTAAGCTACATCCCCAGCCCTTTTAATTTTTTTAAAATTTTTATTTTTTTGAGACAGGGCCTTGCTATGTAGCCTGGGCTGGCCTTGAACTCACTTTGTAGCCTGGACTGGCCTCAAACTTCCGGTGATCCTGCTGCCTCAGCCTCCCCTGGAGGGGAGGTGTGTACCACCATGCCCAGCCCTTTTGAATTTTTTGAGACAGATTTGCTAA